TGAGAAAAGAGAATCCAAGCTAGCGGAAGACTCCACAAGGCGCTGCTGGTCCACAGGTTCTCAGAGGCCCCCAGCTGATTGCCCAGCTGCTTCCCCTGCCAGCCCTGGGAGGATGAAGACTCAGCGAGAAGAGGGCACATCACCGCCCCCGGATACAAAATGAAAATGCAGAACCCCTCGCTCAAAAATGAAGATTTTCGAGATGCCGACAGCAGAACATTCAACCAAGCACAGCCCTCTGTGCAACTATACAAAGTCCCATGCCCTTGAAGCCAGCCCTGCCCCTACTGCATGGGTCACATTAAACTTTACCCTTCAAGGTTAACTTTGGGTAAAGTTACTAGAGCAGAACCGCAGCCCTCTCTTCATTCTTTGCCATAATAAGGGAGGAGGCAGGGCAGACTGAGCTGACCACTCCACATGTACCCACGTGTAGCCCATATCAGAGGTGGCACGTGAGCTATCTATGCAGCCTTGTTAAATCTCAGCTCCTATCTGCAGCCCTGACACCTTCATCCTTCCCCAGGGCATGGGGGAGCCAGAGTCATACCTGAAGGAAGTGGCTAGGGTGGGGTCTTTAGGGGACTTGCTGACATTCTCAGTTTCTTGTCTCAGTTTCCCCTCTGATATGTAGGCGTAGGTCAGATGTTAAATGAGCTTGCACATGGTAGTAATATCCTGGAAGTCTCCTGAAGGGGGCTGTTAAACACAAGGCAACAGGCCCCAAATAGAGTCACTTAGGCTAAGCTACTTACTGTCCAATTGAGACTTAACTTAACTGTAGTTCCAGCTCTCCCCCAAACAAAATCTTAAATCAGTCAATCAGGAATCTCCTAACCAGCATGAGTTAATCTGCCTCATTCTGAATGACCCCTGCCATTCCCCAATGGAAAGTCCTTGCCATAAGCAATCCCCTCCTTTGTCTAGTATAAACTCCTTGTTCCCTCTCTCTCTGCCTGTACAAGTCTTTTCTTTTGTACAGCACCTCAGAGCTGGTTTCTGTCTGCGAGATTGGATGCTGCCCAATTCATGAAACATTGAATAAAGCCAGAGAGATCTTTAAAATTTATTCAATTGGATTTGTTTTTTTAACAAACAGAGCTAAAGGTCTGGGTATAAAGAACTGCTTTTCAACTCTCTTAATGCTATTTTATTGTCACTAAATGACATGCTCCCCCAAACTGAAAAAGAAACACAAGGAAAGACAGACTAATCTACAGCGAGGGAGAACTTCGAAACTGTAAAAGTCCCAGAGCAGTTGGAAGATAAGGGACAGCAGAGGGCGCTGTTGTTGTGCAAACACACCCACAGGAGGAGGGCCCCACCGCACCCCACCCAGGCACGGATTTTTTTCTTACACATCTCTACCCCATAAATCTACACAGAGATACCCTCCTTACCCCCTTAACCCTATCCGCCTCATAGTCTCTATCTTACAAGTACTTCAGAGGTCAGATTAGAATTCCTGACTCAGAGTCTAACTGGCCTCTGGGGGTCTCTTGGACCCTTATCCCACCTCCAAACTATTTTCATATACTGATGGTAGTTCTCAGTGAGGCACTGGGGCGAGGATCTGAGACCCCTAGTTTCCTTCCCCAGCCTGTG